CCGGCAGCACCTGGTACGACTCAGCCAACTTTGGCGAGGCTGTTAAACGCGCCCTCAAAAACCGCAGTGCTATCGAGGTTAGCCTGATGCACATTATGCACATCGATGTAGCAAGCGAATCGCGGATTTTGACGTCCAATCATTAATACTAATAGTTTTTCACGTCAGTATTAATACAGTTACTGACGTCTGGCTTTCAGTTGAATGTAGTATGTACTGGACACATATTCAGCGTTCTGGTCACCATTGTCGAGTATAGTATTTCTTGTTGTATCAGCATTCTTTACTGCCATCTAGTTGGTTAATAATGATGATCTACTATTGACCACGTCACCTGGATGCAATGCGTTGCATTTGCCCTCTTGAGGTTCACAACTAATTTTTGTCTTATTGGCTAGCTGTGAAGCTGTTAAGTAGTTATGGTATTGGTGTTGAAATGCAAAGGCCTGATAACGGAACTGCAAGTAGCCGCTTCTAATTTCAGAAGACGTTGGTGTATCTGTAGCATCTTAAAGTTGAAAGTTTCGTATTTCCCTGTAGGAAGCGTATATTAACGTTGAAGATCAGATCAAGGATCAGCGGAGAGTTGAGTCTTGTGGAGAAAGAAGTGAAACGGTAGATGTTGCTGCCCCATCTCCCTTGCTATCCCTCTTCTCTGTTATACCTTGGAATAAGAAAACCAAGAAGAAGCCGCTTGAAGAGGTAAGGGTGGTTTTGCGTTTTCATAGTCAAAAGAGAGAAGTTCAGCAACACCTCACTGCATCGTTTTCAATTTAGCTACTGAAGGAAGCTGATGATCTCCGGAAGGAGTTGATGTTCAGCAATAATCAGGTTGACCGAGAGTGGGAGCGTTGGCAGTCATCAAGAGTGGAGGAAATGGCAATGAACATGGCCACTCTGACCAGTGCCTACATGGAGTACTGGTGTGGCGTCGCCAAAGCCTGGCGTGAGACTGTGGTTCACTTACAGCAAACGCGTCAATTATCACCAAAATCTGTCTCCACTGTTTCATTACCAAGCACTGGAGAATCCTGTGATTACCAGATGTGATAGAACAATGTTGCATTAAATGTCCTTCTGCTTTGATTTAATTTTGGGTTGAATTAAATCCCAATTTTACAAGTTAAACCGATTCACGACATCTTACTGGCTTGGAGAAGTTACCTAATTCATCGTTTTCTCTTGCATAACCCACGCGAGCGAAAGTGCAGCTCAGTTAGGCGTGAAATGTTTCTAACATGACCAATAATAATGTATACTTTCACACAAGTTCACGCACAGTTTTATGTTGTGCAGTGTAAAAGATAAAACTAGAATGGGAAAAAGTTTGCCTCTGTGAATA